TATATTATTTTTAAATAAAAAATTAATCATTTTGTCTAATTAACAAATTTTGTTTTTTAAGATAATATATTTTGTAATTATAAATTAATGTACAAAAAAATTATTATAATCACTTAATGTTATTAAAGGGAAAAAAACAAAATTGAAATTTATTAGATAATTATTAATTAAAAAATGTGACTACAAATTAAAAAATTAAAATGGATAAATTTGTCAATAAAATTAAAAAATTTTAATCCGTTAACGGTTTGATACAAAAAGCTACATAAACTAGCTTTTTCAATCCGCTAGCGGTTTGAACCCTAACCGCTAAATAAAAATTTTACCAAACACTTTATTTGTAGCGGTTTCGAAATATATAAATTTATCAAACATCTATATTTAGCGGCTTAAGTAAAACCGCTAATTGCTAACCGCTAATCGTTACCCCAAAACCGCTATACTAAACGAGCCCTAAATTAGAGAATGAAATCAATTTAAAATCAAATCAATTTAATTTTAGAAATAAAATCAATGATTTCTTTAGTCAATGAAATGAATGAAGTCACTTTAAAATTAAAACTAATTTCAAGCTAGTTTGAAAACAAAATCAATAGAAGGAAATTGTAATTTTAGAATTACTATGATACCAATGCTACATGGCTAATAAAGGAAAAATATATTTGGTATTTTAATAAATTTAATGAATGTTACTAATTTGAAATCAATTAATTTTTAAAATAAAGTCTTAAAATAAGTAATTACTTTGATTAAAAAATGTAAAAAGAATTAAGTAAAAAAGAACTTATAATTAATAAAATAAATTTAATAATATTTATTAAGCTAATTGGTTGGATCAATTGATTTAAAGTCTAAGTAGTTGAACTCAACTCCGTGATTCGGTGACCAAAATGAGTCAATCATCATGTTGGGTTTTAAGAGTCTATTTGCACAAATATTGTAATAAATAAAAACTAAATAAAAATTAAAGGATGTTAGTTAACATTTTTCAAAAGCCCCTTTACTATATGCTAGCTACGTCGGGTTTAAGAGCTAGGATCTGTATGCTTGTGGGAATCTCGAGATTTCTGCTACTACTCAGATTTCTGCTATAGAAACCAGACGGTAGCAGATTAAATCGAGAGACTGCCTGATTTTTGTTACACCTATGGTTATGTGGGGCATACTGATTTTGATTGTGAGCTGGGTTTTAAGATGAAGGAAAATGGAGACAAGATTCTAAAGCAGTATGGACTGCAGAGTGGCTTCACGCAAATTTGGCTGTTTGGGGACCAATTTAGCTTAGTGAATGTGGATTATCTATCAGTCAGGAATCTTTAGCCCAGGAGCATAGTGCTAAAAGGAGTGTGGGTAAGGGCAAGAAGAAGGTAGTGGAAGTTTGTGGCTTTGGGGAGGAATCGATACAGAAGAAGACGCGAAGATTTGCAAGGAGAAAAGACCATTGCAAATTGAGGTGGCCTTGAATTATGAGAGCCGAGACCAAGGAGATTTCTATTGCGAAAATGGTAAGGAATTTTTAGTTGAGAATGTTGTTAATACACAATCTCAAGAATTTTCAGACTCTTTATTGGTGGCTGTACCTCTTGTTTAAAACCAGACGGCTATGGTTGTGGCCACATTTTGGTTAACATCATATAAATAGTCAAAATTTTATTTTATTTTAATTATTAAAATAATTTATAGTTTATAAAATAATATTTATTATTTAATAAGTTAAATTAATTTATAAATATAAGAGTATATTTTTAAATATTATAATTAATAATTTTAAAAAATAAAATAATAATAAACTATGTAATCTAAACAAAGTTTAGTGTTATCGTAACCACATCTAAAAGCACAAAAAGAAAACTGACCAGAACTTGGAAGTTTAAATTGCCAGCGGGGATTGGAAAGTCAAGTTAAATTTCTTCATAAATGAAGAAAAAAAAAAAGGGGGAGATTGGGTGGGCATCCCGGCGCTCGCCTAACTCCCTATTATGTTTTTTTTATTATAGAGAAAAGAAAAAATAAAGATATTTTAACATTAAAATTATTAAAAATTTTAATTATAATTATTAAATGTATAAAATATAATGTGAATCATAATTTTATTAAATGTGTTATGTGGTTATTATTATATATTTTAATTTTTTAACGTTAAGAGCTTTTATTTTATTTTTTTCATAAGGCTACTAAAATTGTTT